GGAAAATCTTAAAATCCATTTACTTAATTTGTTATATCGAAATATTAAAATGTTTCAACAGTGTCTCACAATCTGAATATGCAAAGATTATTGAAAGCCTGATATTCTTAATGAACTATACTCGACATGATATTGTCTATGTTGTTAGTAGATTTAGTATATATATGCTCACAATCCTAGTGGTGAGCATTGAAATACTCTTAATCTTTTACTTAGATACATTAAAGGTACAATAAATTATGAACTTAAATTTGTTGGATACCCTACAATCCTTGAAGAATATTGTGATACAAATTAGGTAACTGACAATGATGAAGTAAGTTCCACTAGTGGGTATATTTTAAAGTTCCACTAGTGGGTATTTTAACTTTAGGTGGAGTAGTTATTTCTGGAAGTATGTCAAACAAACGTTTATTGCTTGCTTCACCATTGAATCAGAGTTATTTCTCTTGATTTAGCTTGACAAGAGGTCGAGTGGCTTAGGAATCTTCTTATAGAGATTTCTTATAGGGGAGACCTACACCTCCAATGTCATTATTATGTGATTCACAATCCACAATATGCGTTGCTAATAATCAATCTTACAATGGTAAGAAGAGACACATCATGACAAGACACGAATATATGAGACATCTTATAAAGAATGGAGTACTCACTTTAGAGTACATGAAATCTGAAAGGAACTTTGCTGGTTCCTTAACTCAAGGGTTACTTAGAAGAATGGTTTTGATTCGTCGAGGGTATGAGACTTAAGCCTATGGATGAGTAATTCATATCGTACACTCCTACCTATTCCTATGACATATCGGTACACCAATCTGTAAGGTTGAGTGTTATACTCTTAATGAATTCATAGCCTAAGATTTGGGTAGTCCTAGTGAAACAGCCTTGATGGATACACCGATCTGTAAGGTTTAATTTTATACTCTTAATGAATTCATAGTCTAAGTTTGTGGGTGATCCTAGTGAGACGGAATTGATGAATTCATCGAATTTATAAATGAGAGGTCGAGCTTAGTAAAATCTTTTAATGATTTTATACCCTAATTGGGTGGTCAATATTAAGATAGACTTGATGGAATCACTTATGTAAATGTAAAGGAGTAACCACATTCTATAAAAGACTTTGGGTCGTTTTTCTAGAGCACTTATGAGCATCCTGAGGTATCATTTGGCAAAATGTTTGAACTATCGCGGAACTCAAGTAGATCTGAAGTTAGTTGTGTTATGAGTTAATCCTAATCTTAACAAATTCAAGATTCATCACTTGTTGAAGAGAAGAATTACCCATTCCAAATATAATAGATTATAGTGCTTAAGTGACTAATTCGCTGCTGCTTTTTCTTTAATTCTTTTATGGATTTTTACTTCTTGCATTAGTGGGAGATTGTTGGTTATTTTATAATAATGCAAAGAAATAAACATATTTATTTGAATTTTAAATTAATTAAACTTTAAATGTTGAAAAAGTTGGAGAAATTGATACTTTTGAAGTTTTTTTTGCTGATTTTTCTCTTGATATTTTTACCTAAATTTTCTCATTTTTAGCTATAAAAGAAGATCCCTCTTCACTTTCACTCACTCTTCATCATTCTCCTCTTTTCTTCTATATTCTCTCTTAACAAAGAATAGTGAAGTTTTCTTTTTCCAGAGGGTTTTTTATATTTTTCGATGGGATTTACTCTGGATAAAATATTTTCTTTTCTTCCAGAAAAGAGCAATACTATTCAGAGTTCTACTTCCTTATTTTGGGTGTACGAAATTTGAAAAATTGTGTTAACCTTAGGGGACAACATCCATTGTTAGGGATTACATCAGTCCGGACGAAATTCACTACAAGAAAATATACCTTTAATGACACACGAATGATGACACACGCTAATTTATAACTTGCAAAAAATATGTGTCATAAAAAATATCATATTTTTTAAAATTTAAATAATTTATGACTTATAATAATATATTTCATATTTAATAGTCATAATCCAAAAAAAATTATAAAAATACAGAATACACTTTTTAATTATATATCATCCATAAAAATCATCTTTTAATTTCCCCATTATTTTCATCCTTTCCCGCTTCTTCCCCTTCTATAATCAATTCACGCCTAATGTTTTCCACTCCTTTCATTCTCTTTTTTTCTCTCCTGATTTTCATCCCAATTCTCTTCTTGTTAGGCCCGAGTTTGACTGTGATAAGCTAAAACAATTTATACACAAACCCTATCCCTAAAAATTCCTAAATTTCAGATATCCTTTCATTTATATTTCTTCCAAAAAATTAAACATGGTTGGAGAAGACAATATCTCGAATCCACTAATGAAAAAGATATGTGCGAATGGCATCGGGGATGAAGATGATGCACCGTCATCCTCAACGTCGAAAATGGAGCGGAAGTTATGGCCCATCATTAGTGGCGAACACCTAGAAATTGAGGCCTACGCTGCACTTTACTCCGGCCGTACCAAGATCATGCATCTCATATTCATCACCGACCACTGCAACAATACCGCAATACAATTGGAAGCCCTAAGGATGGCTTACGATGAGCTCAAAAGGGGGAGAACAATCAGCTATTCCGTGAAATAGTCCAGAAGATCGACGGTCGATTGGGTCCGAACTATTCGATGGATGCCGCCTGTTGCGCTATGGTTGATCGAAAAGCCGAGCAAAGGAAAGAGAAGCTCGAGAGTGAACTCAATGTCTACAGGGTAATTTTATCTTTCTTACTAAATTTATTTTCTAGAAACTATTTAGTTCTTTAATTTGTTTGGTTTCTAACTTCAGACTAATTTAATCAAAGAAAGTATAAAAATGGGTTACAATGATTTTGGAGATTTTTAATATGCTCATGGTGCACTGGGGGATGCTTTTAAAAGCTACGTTCGAACTCGAGATTACTGTACTACGTCAAAGCATGTTATTCAATGTGTTTGAGCGTTATTCTTGTGAGCATTGAGATGGGTCAATTTTCTCATGTGAGAAGCTACATAGTAAGGCTGAGCAAACACCCAAGGCACTTAACCATACCACTACTGCTAAGCTACGATGTGCTGCCAGATGCCTCATTTTGAGTCTAAGAAGTACAAGTTTGCTGCTCGGAAGGTTTTTCAGCTTATAAATTGTTTTTTTGATCTTGCAAAATTCAAATGTTGCAATTTTTCAGCTTACAATGATTTAGGATCGTTACATGCACTATCTTTTATTCCTGATATGTTGAATTTGAGATATGGCTGAAGTGTGTAGTATTTACTTATGGTCCTTTACTAAGTCATTTTCTAGAACGTGAGTTCAGAAGCAATTTAAGCCACACAATTGGTTTGAAATCTTGTCCTATAAGATCAAAATATATGTGACTTGATATTGAGCTCAATAAGTTCAATGAACTTAGTGTAAACAATCTTCATTTTAAGCATTCCCGGAGCATTGCTTTCCTCAAAAGAAGCCTGGAATCCTTTATGGTGTTGGATTTGGTGGAGGACATTATGGTAGAAAACTTAAAGAGAGTTAATTTGATGGACTCAAAAGAAAACTAGTATTGTAGTGTTCGTTCTGATGCTATTGCAGTGCGATGATTGTGTACCTCAAGGATTTAGTTCTTCTTCCTTTATCTGGAGCAATCCTTAAAAGTTTGTTGGCCTGATCAATTCCTAGTTTGCGTACTATGCTTTTTGTTGCAGAGGTATCCGTCTGTTGGTCATCTTGTATTGGTTATTAATATGAAATGTAACAGGCGAGATTTTGTGATTAGTTTTATTTTGAGCAATTACCATTTCATTGTTGGATTGATTGTCTTTTCTATGCGTGCAGTTCTTGGAAGTGGGTCCTGAATTGGGGAATTCAGACAATGAAGTCATTTCTCCTTAAGATGTTGCTACTTTGGTGTTCTTTGTGCACTTGCAAGCTTTGGTCGAACTGAACTGAAGGCATGAATCTCTCTAGTCCCCTTTCTTTATTTTCTGGTAATGTCTTATTGTTGTTTGATAGATTTGTAGTCATGCAATGTATTTTACTTTGCAGAACAAAGTTATTGACAGTATCAACTTCAAGGATTTCTTGGAGTTGGTACCTTAAGTAAGGGAGCTTATTAATGATTTTGATTCAAGGTATTATCTATCTTTAAGTAATATGTAGTGAATTTTCTGTGGTTAATATTATAATATACAATTTTTTGTCATGCGACTCTGCGTTTCAGACTCCTTACATGTTCGCAATTGATGAGAAACACTTACTTTTAACTTGTGGCTTCATTTTTATTGCAACCATTATGCTTCCTGCTTGGAGTATCTTGGAAACCTCAAATCCAACCCGATGCTTGACATTCATATACATGACCATGTTGAGACTATGTATAATCAAATCCAGAGCCAAGCCCTCATCAAGTATACCCACACATTTGTGTCTGTTGATATGAAAATGATGGCTCTGGGATACACTGTTCTGTATATACTCAAAATTTATCTCATGAGTTCATTTACAAGGTTAAAGATGCAGTGGGGTACCTAGTGAAGTGGCCTAGACATCTAGTCATTCGATGCTCTGATTTGGTAATATTTTCATTTATTTAAAGAAATTATATGTCTAATTTAAATGATTTCTTTATATTTTCATTTATTTAAAGAAATTATATAGGTCTGCAACCTCGCTATCAGGACGTAAGGCAAAATTCAAAAATAACGATGAAGCAAGTCGAAGCGTTGCAGATCGATTGTCTCTAAGAAAGGACAATGACATCGACCTAGTGCCATATAATCCAGGGTTTGTTTTTCGTTTGATTATCAAAAAATTTTAGTAACTTAAATTGGTTTTGGTTTTTATAGAAGACATTGGGTGTTGGCGGTGATAGATATGAAGCAACAAGTTATTATCATAATTCCTTGGAGCCCACCAATGTCCATTAGCAGTTGAAGCAGATTATTAATGCATAAGTAACATAAATTATCGAAACATTATAGTATATTCTTTGATATATTTCATCAATTTTTATAGGGCAATGATATTGTACACTGCTCAAAGTGGATCTAACAAAAGTGTTAGCATCAATTAGATCAATGTTTTGGTGAGGACTTCGATAATTCGTTGTTTAAATTGTAGCTTTCATTTTGACTAATCGTTTATTGTAAATTGTTTGTAGTGTCTCCGTCAGTCGGGAGGTACCGAGTGTGGATATTATGTTTGTAAGTTCATGAAAGAGATAGTCGAGAACGGACTTGAAGTGCTGGTCATAAGAATGTAAGCAAACTTTTCTGATACACATTTGTCATATCATACATACACATTAGTCATACAACTATCATATTGACTAGTATATTTCTTGTAGAATAAAGAATACAACTATCATACATAAACATTTCTTGTATCATATACACATCTTTCATATATACATACACATACTCCTGTCTCAACAATATATGCAAATGCAACTAGCTGTAGGAATGCCAATTAAGTTCGTCACAATAAAATGTGTTTTTTGTTACATTGTCCCCATTTCCAGAACTTAATGGTCTCTTTATGACCTGAAACTAAAGATCCATTGTATTTTTTTTTTGTCATTTGTATTTACCTACAGAGGTAAAATATAAATTGAGAGCATAGATATTATTTTCTATGCAAGCTTTATCTTCCATTGTTTTGCCTAGTTTGTAATGCATTATCCTCTCCCTCAATCTTGCCATACATGTTGTAGCTCCTGTTAAAATGACATTTGAAATGTAAGTGCTATTCTTTATCTAAAATAGCTATTATTATTCTCAATTACTGCTTAGCTACAGTATCGATGTTCTCTTTCCTAAACAAATGTTCTCGGTGTTGTAGATATGCAACATGTGTAATACCTATAAGTGCCTTCTTGCATCAAGTCTTTGGTAAGTATTTAACTGTGGTATGACTGGAATTTGTGTTGGTTTGTGGTGTAGTGTTTTCCTTATTATGGTGTGGTTTGTGTTGTGTAATGAGTTACTTCTGTCAGCAAAAAATACATACTGCTTGAAAACCCTGCCAAGACTGAAAGCAGAGTATTACTTGTGAACTTGTTTCTTGTTTCAGACTCTTTTTTGTTTTAAGTATAATATTGTTCCTCAATGATCTGTCTGCTTTCCTATCCTAATGGTTGTTAAAGAGTTACTGCACCCAAGTTGGTAGGTTGACTTGAGTTTGTGAAAATTCTCAACTAAATAAACCTGGATGATTATTGTTAAGCTCAAATCAAGTATAGATGTAGTATCAATACCTGCTACATGTATTGTTTTATCCTTTATTTGTTTCTTAAACTTGAACTAAGGTTAAGGGGGTTTCGCAGAGTGGTCAAGTTGTCTTCTCTGGATAATAAAGTTTCTTAATTAAGCAGGATCCTAATTTTTTCTAGTAGTGATTGCTTCTAAGACTGTGACTACACGGCACAATAAAATTAATGGTCTTCATTTATTTACCTTATTTATTTTTCCAGTCGGTACTAATCTTTCATTTTGCAGTAAGCTATTTTTCCAACACTAGATTGCAGGGCTGCTGCATGGATAGGCATTATAATGTGAATTTGCAGCTTTGTGCAGATTGAGGATTAGTGTGAGAACCCTGATTAGGGGTGCCTTGTTTTGATGTTGTCTTATGGTTTTCTTTGGCTATGTTTTCTTCGTTGTTCTGTTTGGGGCTGTAGGTTTTTTGTTTATGTTTGTACTGTTGCAGCTGTAGCTGCATACTTTGGATTTTGAATGGAAATTACTTATCCAAAAAAATAATATTGTAAAGAAATGTAGTTGGATAGATAGGATAAAACGTGGGTGCACTTTCCCAATTGGTTCAATGATGTGTTTCCTCGGGAGACTGTGTTGTATGTCGTTTAAGATTAGGAGGATCTGAGTTTATACTTTTTTTGTCTTCAATTCCTTTCCCTTTCAGATATGGAATTTGGTCTGTGTTAGGTTTCCACACTGAACAATCATAAGAAAGAGAGAAAAAAAGATGGAATTATTGTAGGTAGGCTCTGAATCGACGACTAATTTATGTCCTATGTGGTATAGCTACAAAGAGAGAATAATACATGTATAGTGACTGGTGCACCATATATACATAAAAGTTGCTTTCTTTCCCTGGTTGTCAGTGGGCACTACAAGTGGATAAGTAGTTTTCGGATGAGATAAATGATGAACAATCTGATTCAGCACCCAAAGTTTTCGGGATGAGACCTTCCAATAAAAATTGTTGTTCGTATAGACAGGCAACTGGCAATGACTGCCTATTGATTTCTTTGTGGTACCACCGCCATTATTACAAGAACTGTTGTTCTTATGAATCGACCAACTCCAGATGTTAAGGCTTTCATGTAGCCTCTTTCCTGGTTATTTAAAACAGTTTGAACCCACAAATTTTGATAAACCGAATTGAAAATGTTAACTTTAGCTGCAATATAAACTTAGATAGCAGATGATTTCATCTGTCACACCCTAAATTATGGGTTAAATGTTAAGTTCATAAAATATAAGTGTCCATTTGCATGTTCCTAAAAGTAGAGGGACTTATTAAGTGGTTAACCCTAGCCATAAGATATTCAAAATATATTTTTGATCGTTTTTGTCATGGTTTTTAGAACCGGACCAGTTAACGAACCGGTCATGCTACCGGTTCACTGGTTCAATCGGTCGAATTGGTCCGATCGGTCGAATCGGTCCGATCGGTCGAAAGAATCGGACGACGTCATAATTATTTAAAAAATTAAATAAAAATAATAAAAATATTTAATAAAAAATAATTTTTTATATCACAAGTCATATTCAAAGCAAGTCATAACATATATAAGTTAAAAACCATAAAATCAAGTGAAACACAATAATTCAAATTAACTACAACATAATATTTAAGGTAAAACATATTAAATAATAAATATAATTATATAACTATAATTAAAAAATAAATTTGGGGTTAAAAAATCATAACAAAATGATATTGTTTGGTTTAATTTTTTTTTAAAAAACAATCTCACCTGGCTAAGAAACATAGAAGAGCATCCCAAAAGTCTAAAGAGTAAAAATATGAAAATAAAACAATCTCACATGGCTAAGAAACATAGAAGAGCATCCCAACTAACTTCTATAAATAATAGAGGTAATTTGACATTCAAAATCATGGAGCCTTTTGGTGAGCATTGAGTGAACTATTCTTTCACTTCAATCAAGCTCGAATTTTAGGCTTCAATCGATCTTCTCATTTTTTTTAGTTCAAGCCTTTTCGAGTTCAAGTTTCAATATTGGCGGTTTAATTTTTTCACGTCATTTGGTTTAATTTTAAAAAAAAAACAAAATTGATAGTTTTTTTTCTTGTTTTTCCGGTTTTTAGCCGATCCGGTTCAAACGGTTCAGTGGTTCCGATCGGTTTACTAGTAACGGTTCAACCGGTGTAGATTGAACCGAACTAGACAGTGATTTCCGGTTGAATCGGTTGAACCGGCCGGTCCGGTCCGATTTTCAAAACACTTGTTTTTGTTCATGCTTGGATGCAGTTTTGGTTTTATCCGCCCAAAACCCCATTTTTTTGGTCATCCAGTAACCTACATCATCTCTATCGTCGAACTCTTCTGCCAACGCCATTCCTGTACTTTCTGTTCAGTATCGGTAAGTCATCTTCCACTTTAGCCTCTCTGGATTTCAAGTTTCAGTTGTTCAACCCAATTGGTTTCCGAATTTAACTCACTTTTATGTTGATTTCAAGATATAAACTTTGTTCTGTTTTAACTTAAAACAAAATAAAAGATTCAATTACTTATTCAATTCATTGTTTATGTTATAATGTGATGAATAAATATATGACTTTGTATTTTTGTCAGAATCACCACATGATTCCCAATTTTGCAAAATCAAAATCCTTTCTACCTTTCTGTGTCACGAACCCATATGCGTTGTAATGATATGAATGGGTTGTAAATGTCTACCTCGTTCTTAGTGTGCTAGGTGAAACCGAAAATTTCTTTTGATTCTTTGATAACTGCTCGATTTCTCATATAGATTAATTTTTAATTATTAAATGTGGACGTTCTATATTCTTATATATTCAGATTAATTTTAATTTCTTTGCTGATTTCATAAGATGAAATTCTAACACCAGATAAATTTTATACATTTTTTATGTATTATTTATTCCGAAAAATATTGATACGAGCACGGATTGACATCAAGGTGATATTTCAAATTGGTAGAACTATGGTGTCTTTGAATAATCATTACTAAGTGATCATGTGTCTTTGCACTCTTGCTAGTAGATCCAAATTACTTCCTTTCGAACTCAATTTGATTTCGCACGTTCGGCTCGAGATGCATGTTCCTTTTTCGTTGAACTTAGTACTACTAATTATAAGAAGCTTATGGCTTAGCTAGAATCCTTCAACCTACATAGGTGTGTTCCCTTGATCTGTATGCTATTTCTAATAATTTTATGTTATTTTTTTGTATGATGCTATTTGTAAGCATATTTGTATTATGGCGATGATTATTTGTGATAAGTTCGATTCCTAGTTGTTGTTGCATTGTTTTTAACGTGTGAATTGTTGTATTTTTGTCATCTGTATGGATTGCTCTACGGAGGGTAACATCCCCGTCCTATTTCTGCATGAGATTCTCTTTAGAGGGAAATATTGTTGAAAATTCAAAGTTCTTTCTCCCAAATGGGGCGGCTGGCAAGACCAAATGGGGCGGTTGGTTATAGGAGGCTAAACCAAAATTTTCATGCACCAAATTGTTGAAAAATTGAATCAACATGGGCGGCTAAAATTGGTCCAAATTAGGCAGTCATTTTAGTTGAAAATGTAATAGGGTTAATTACATTTTAGTCCCTATACACTTTAGGGTATTTACAAGAGTAATCCTTAAACTTCAACTATAAATATCCTAGCCCATTTAGCTTCAAAATTATCCTCAAATCATTCTAACTCTCTCTCAAGTATTTTTGTAAACACCTGTAAATTTTCTCCCTTTAGTAAAAGATCTGCAGCAGTCCGGAGACGTAGGCATAATTGGCTGAACTCCGTTATCAATTTCGGGCATTATTTTTCCGCTTTTATTTCACATTCTCACTAATCTGGTTATGGGGAAATTACTCGTTTATTTCCTAACAACTGGTATCATGAGCTTTTGGTTGTGAATTTTGTCAATTTTTCTGCGAGGTTACTATTCAAGTGAATAGTGAATTTTGTGAATAGTGAAATTTGGTCGGCAATAGGAGTTTGTCGACGGAGGTGCTCTAATATACGGTGGTTCGCAAGAATTGTCATAAACGATCCAAACGAAGCCAGATTCGAGTGGGAGCGATGGCTGCAGACGAAGGGAATATGAAAATTGAGAAATTGG